GGGAGTGTGTGGGTGGCAGCCAGTGTGCACCAGGAGGATGGAGAGGCTGCCTGCTTCCCCATCTCAGGGTGGGTGCCCGAGTCCTGGGTCCCAGCTGCCTGTCCGTCACAGTCTCCACGTCTTTATCCCTTGCCAGCAGCCGACACCACCAAGCACTTTGGCTCAGGGGCAGCTCTGGGGGTCCTATCTCCCCTGGGGAAGCGGGTGACTCGGGAGCCCTGGCAGCATGGGTGGACAGTGCAGAGTTAGATCTGCTGTCCCACTGGCTCTTTTTGGAATTAGAGGCCTGGCATAAGTATCTGCAGTCTTCGTCTGCGTGTCTTCGCAGGATGGGGAGGATGAGGAATTCCTAGCACCTTAGCAGTGGGGGCAGCAAATGCCACCACAGAGCTCTGGGGAGGCTTTGAGTTACGCCTTGGAAGTCCCTTTAAATCCCCAGGATCTGTGTTGGAGGTGTCTTGGCCTCCCAATAGGGCAGTCCCTCTTAAATCTGGCTTGAATTCCTTTCCAGAGGGAGCAGGACCCTTCTCTCAGGAGATGAGGTCAAGTGCAAGCAAGCTGGCATCCTCTTCCCCAACTCGGTGGGGCCACCGGCCTGGGCCTGTACACCCACTGGTCCCGGCATCCTGGCCCCCGTCAACTCGCAGCCTTCATGGGAGCTTCATTCCAGCTCTTTGGGCGTGGGGTCCAGGCCGGGTTCCCTCCTGCGTCTGGCACTTTTAAAGAAGCCAAGCTGTGGGGATAAATGGCAGAGGCTCAGGGAAGGGCAGGGTCCCCAAGACCTGCCTCTTCTCCCCAACACCTGCCTCTTCTCTCCACTCTCCCTCTGCTAGCCCACCTCAGGCCTCTGCTCAGAAGGTTTCCTGAATGCCTCAGCTTTCCATGAGTAGTCCCCCACCCCAGACTACACAACAGGCCACTTAATTGATGGGTTGTTGGAATGGGGTGGATGGAACTCCAGGACTGGAGACAGAAGCCTCGGGGGACTCTGCCCTGTCACACTGCTCTTTGGGCCTCCCTCATCTCAGCAGCCACAGGAGACAGAGACTGCCAGGGCTTCTTAACTTGAGGGGTTCTTAACAGAGATGAAGGGGACAGTTAACAGTCTGATAAGTTTTGGAGAAATTTGGCGGTTGTATATGTGTATATGTTGCTTTTTTCCCTGGTAAATGGAACCTGAGCTTTCTGGTTCTCAAAGGGGCCCACAGACGGGTCAGTGCCATAGGTTGAGTGCCACCTAGTGGCCCCAGCCACCTGCCTGCTGTGCTGAGGGCTCCATGCTGCAGTCAAGTTCTGGGGAGGAGACTGGGTGGCTGCCAGGTCCCAGGAAGAGAAGTGAGTGTAGCCACGGAGCCCACAGACTGGATCCCTCCCCATCCTGCCTCCCTCCCCATCCTGCCTCCCTCCCCATCCTGCAGGCCCCTCACCTTCCATAGTGCCAGGACCAGCAGGGCCAGGAGCAGGAGGCCCCCCAACGTGCTGCCCACAATGATCCAGATGGGGATCTGCCAGTCTTCTTGCTTGGAGATCTCAAAAGTGATCTGCAAGGGCAGAGGGCGGGAAGGGCGGTGGCTAGATCAAGAACCTGACTGTTCTGGGGTCCGTGTGGCCACCTGGGCCAAGACTGGAGGGCAGGAGGCAGCTGACACTGCATCACTGAACTCAGGGAAATGCTGGAGGCGACGTCTGTTTGCAAAGGTGTTGGTTTCCCAGAGCCAGGCCCTTGGGTTACCCCCGAGAGGAGTAGCAGACCTCCTGCCCCTTAAGCCACAGTGTGAGTTTCCCAGGAAGCTGAGATGTTTTGCTCTATCCAAAAGGACAGGTTTAATATAAAAGGGAAAGACAAGTGAAGGATGCGTGCACAGACACAAGCAGGCAGAAATGTGCCCTTGAAAGGGGCAGGTTTGCAAAGAGAGGCCTGCCTGGTCACAGGGGGTGGCCTCGGGGAGCTGCCTCTGCTGCTTGGCAAAGGGAGAAGGTCAGTGAGTAGAAACACCGCCCAGGCCGAGGCGGCAGGGGCTGGTCTCCCAGCAGCCGCAGGGATGCGTCATCTCCTCTGGGAGAAGCACATTCAATTGTGCCCCCCGGTGGCCCCACACACCTTCCTGCTGCTGCGGTTGAATTACTTCTGGGTCTGGCACCTAAGGACTTTTCTATATTTGGTGTGTAGCTCATAGATCTGAAAGGGTTGGTGATCTCCCAGTGGCCTCCACATCTGCTCCTACAGCCGGCCTGATACTCTACTTCTCTACAGCTTGTTGAATGACTATGTTAATCATTTCTACCTCCACTCTAGCAGCTTCAGTTTCTGGCCTTGTGAATCCTCTTTTCCAAAAGCTCTGCTCTTCCCCCCACTAGAGGGGTGGTGGCACTCAGCCTGCAGAGGCGCAGGCTGTCCTCTTACCTGGATTGTCTGTCTTGATATGGATGGGGTCATAAAAATACCTTTCTTTACGGAGGCAGGGGCCCCACAGGCCAAAGAACCCAGCGCCCGAGAAAGCTCCTCCATGGCCCTGGGTGGCTGGACTTGGGTGGTTTACTCAGGTCCTTGCCTGCTTTTCTGGCCAGCGCCTCCCTGGGTTGGGGCTGGAGGTGACAGTTGCCCGCCAGGAGCCCAGGCCCGCGGTTCCAGGACATGACCAATGGGGGGCAGCAGCGTCCCACAGCTTCGATGCCCTGGCACGGACCAGTCTTCTTTCAATATTCAACTGCTCATTTTCCCACAGAGGTTCACCCTTTTCCTAGACCCAGATTTGGGACAGTCTGACCTACAACATTTTGAGTCCCAATAATGAGACATGTTGGTGCTGGAGACTAAGCATAGAAAATTTAAGATAGCAGTGTCACAAGACCAGAAGCTGGAGGTGGGGGAAGAAGTGATTAACACAGTTGTTACACCACCTATAGGAATGCAAAATCCTTAGGCACCTACAGCTGCAGCAGGTATTAGATGCTCTAGAAAGTCCTGGGCCAGAGGAGGGGATGTGGAGATGGCGTGTGCCATTGCAGAGAATCCCCTGTCTGTACAGAGCACCCTAGTCATGCCCTACAAGTAGCTGATTAGCAACAGGTAACAATTCCACAAAGGAATGAGCGCCCCCCCCCCAAAGGACACTGTACAGTTCTATCTTGTCCTGGCTGGAAGCAGGTCTCCCAAGGCTGCTGCTTGTGTCCATGCAGGCATTTCTTCACAAACTTGCCCCATTTAGATAGAGGCAGCTCTTTCTGCCTGTGTCTGCAAGCATCCTCTCCTTTCCTTTTTTAATAATAAACCTGCATTTGATAGTGGTTGTACCAGTATGCATTCCAACCAGCAGTATAGGAGAGTTCCTTTTTCTCTATAACATCGCCAGTATTTATTGTTGCTAGTTTTTTTTAATTGCTGCTCTATTCAGAGTAGGGAAGATATGGAATCAACCAAAAATAGATGACTGGCTCAAGAAGATGTGGTATCTACACACAGTGGAATATTACCCAGCAATCAAAAAGACAAACTCATGCCATTTGTGGCAACCTGGATAAAGAAGGAAAGGATCATGCTTAGTGAAATAAGCCAGAAAGAAAAAGAAAAATACAAGTGGTTTCACTCATAGCAAGAATGGAAGGGACCAGGGTGGAAAAAAAGTAATTGTAATAAAAATGAGTATCAACCAAAAAAAAAAAAACCCTGCCTTTGGATGTAACTAAATGTCTCTGTCTCATGGGAAACGCACATTGTGTCACTGAAGGGGAGCTCTGAGGAAACTTTGCTCAGCAGTTACTACCCAAGGACTTCTGTCTCTGAACCCAACACCTCTCTAACTCAACATCATCCACAAATCCAGTTCATACCAGACTTCTGAAGCACAGGTCACTTGCATTTCATTAGATTTGAGGTGTGAAGGAGATTTGGGTGGGGAGAGGAGTGGGTGCTTCCTCATGGTGGCTGCCAGTCTGCCCAAGTCGCAGACTCACTGCGGCCCACTGAGCCACCCCTGGGGCTGACAGGCTTGGAGGCCCGTTTCTTCTAGGGCAGAAAGCAAAATGTGCAGATTCCTTCCTGCCTCTGCCCCCTTGGGGCCATTGTGTGCAGCCTGGACACTACTGAATGCTTGCTTCTGCTCCACCCCACCTCTCCCTTAACTGCCTGCTAATCTTGCTTCCCCTTTCTTTGAATGCTTCACCAACCCTGGTGGGTCTGTCTCTGGGGGGAACACAGCGAGAGTGTAGAAGACCTGAGCAGAAGGGGGGGCCCTGCTCAAGCTGGCCTAGCCAGAGCCCAGGTCCGTGGGGTCCCCAGGGGCTTACCTGGCGGCTGGGGTCCTCTTCTCGGAAGATGAAAGGACTGTGGAACTGCCTCTGCAAGGCTGCGTTGACTGTGATTTTCAGCGATTTGTACTTGAGCTGTATAAAATCAGAGCTCTCAGAAATTGGCTCCTCTCCAGTTGGGAGACGCCCCAGCACCCACCTCCTTCCCATCCTCCCAGCCTAGCTCAGGTGCTCTACATACTGCTTTCAGGGACCTCAGCCAGAGGTTCCCAGACAGGTGGAAATTGATTTCCTGGCTGGGAGCCAGCCTCACGTTGCAGTTGATGGAGACGATGTCAGAGTTGCTATGATTCTGAAAGAGAACAGAGGGCTTGGGGGTGAGTGGTCAGGCTCTGGGGGAGCAGGGGGAGGCATCTGGTTATGACCTGAAAAATGGGAGCTGGAGAGTGGATCCCTAGAATGATGGCTCAGCTGCACTGCTTGACCAACTGGGGGTGGAGGGGCAGTGGACGGGGGCAAAAGTGGGGGACCCAGGGCTGGGGTTACAGGGGATGGCTGGGGTCAAGGGGAGGATGGCGTATGTGAAGTGAATCTGCATCACTTGGATGTATTCTGGAACAGAATTTTGGTCCAACATTAGGAAATCTATAATGTCATCACCCTCCAAAGGGAGAAAAGGAGCAAATTACATGATGATTGCGATCGATGAATAGATTTTAGGGACTGCAACTTCTGCTCATGATAAAAACTCCCAGGGAATTTTCTAACTCTGAATAAAAAAACATTTATGTCAAAATTGACAGCAAGTATACTTTAATAATGAGAAATTAAAAACAATTGCTTTAAACTCAGGGTCAAGACAAGACTGCCATCACTTCTATTTCCCATTGCCCTGGAGGTCCTAACCAGAGCAATACGGTGAGAACATCTATAAAGATTAAATTATAAAACTAAAACAGTTACTATTATTATTTACAAATATCTTCTTAGTGGGAAACCCATATACATAGGCCGATGAGTAACCAGAATGTGTTAAGTTCTAGTTATTTTGTTGCCCTTTACAGCCACTTCCACACAGCCCCGTCCCCTGCCCGTCTTCATGAAGAGCAGCACCCTCAAAAGGTGCTTTGTGAGAGGCCCTTTGTGAGAGCTAACACAGCTAAGAGTTTTGTCTGGGTAAGAAATAGTGAAAACAAAGCCCAGAAACTGGCATCTGGGGACAGACAGCCAAACATAAACCTGGGGATGAGCAGGTGTGTTGGGGTGGGAGGGGAGGCTGAGCTGCCTTCTGTTTCTCGGACAGGCGGCCACTGTCTCCAAGGAGACACAAATGTTCTGGCCCCACAGTTGTGCTCTGCCTGGCCTCTACTTATCTCTCCCACTGGCCCTTTGAGGCTCAAGCCTGAGTCCCCCCACCATCTCTATTCCTTTACTCCAGGTTGTCTGTCTTGGGGTATCATTAACAGGTTAAAATTAAACCTCACCCATTGAGATGAAAAAAAAAATGTGAAAAATGATGTTAAAATAAACGAAAAAAAAAAAAAATTAAACCTCACCCTGGGCCCTCCCTGGTGGCGCAGAAGGTTAGGACACAGCACTGCAAGCCAGCCGCAGCTGCTTCAGTGTGAGTTCGATCCCCGCCTGCCCTGGTGACCCACATGACGTGGCAGACCTCTCCTGACCCACCCGCTGCTCCCCTCAGCAGTGTACTTCGTAGATCTGCCTGTTCTGCTCCCCACTCTGTCTCTGGTGAATCCTCTCACCGCCGCTGCACCTCTGGCCTATACCCAGTTCTGTATGCATAATTAAATAAATCTTAAAAAAAAAAAAAAAAGCAAGCCTCACCCTTTGCCCAGCAGGAAGGTTTGGGAGACTGGAATAGATAAAGGGAATTGATAAGGTTCCCATGGGAATCAGGACTTGAGATTCATCTCTCTGACTCAATGCAGAAGCAGGGCCAGGGCACATTCCTTGTCAAAGGTCAATGCCCAAGACTAGCTGTCGCAACACTAACGAGCCCAGACCAACTCCCCAGTCATGAGAAGCCTGCAAAATAGCTTATAAAAGGGAGCCCCACATCCCTCATACGCAGCCCTCTCGTGTCGCCTGCCGCTCCTCTCAGCAGAGTATTTCAGTAAACCCTCCTTTTCTGGCCTCCACGCTGTCTCTGGAGCATTCTTCCATGCCCGCAGCCTCCACGCCCGATTCTTCCCCACAACAGTCTGCTCACACATCTCTACACGGACACGATGTCTCCGGGCTTCCTAGACACACACTCTCCCCAGGAGGTGGGGAGCTGCAGAGGGGCAGCAGTCCCTCCCCCCATTCTGTGTCCTCTTGGAGGCTGGCACAGGCTCCCACCGCCAACCGAAGTGGCCCCCACTCAGGCAGTACCCCTCCTCCGGGCCCCCCTTGGCTCTGGAAGCGTGACACTTACCAGCTGGGGTGCAGGGCTCGTGTCCTCCTCTGTTGGAGTGTGCCGGTACTCGGTGCTGTTCCCCCAGATCTTACAGGACGTGTTCCCCTGCACAGGGACACAGGCAGCCCCACCGTCAGCCCTGCTGCTTGGCCCCCCAGAGATGCTGCTTTCCCGCTTGTCCCCAGAGAAGGGGCTGATCCCTGGGGAAGCTGGGGTCGAGGACTTGGGGACACACGAGGGTGCTGTCTGTTGCCTCTGTCCCCCTCCCCTAAGTCGACTCCCCGGGGCATCATACCTGGTCGGTGAGGAAGTCCCGCAGCACCAGCAGACGGTTGCCAGCCCTGGTGGCGATCGGGATGGTGATTTTCATCATCACCCCGTGCACGGGGAACAAGCCCAAGTTTTGGACCTGTAGTCAGAGATGGGAAGGTGTCAGTGCACCTGGTAGCAGAACCTGGTAGCAGTGTGTGTGGGGGAATGGTGGCCCTAGGGGCTGACCAGACCCAGGACAGTGAGGGCCCCAGGGCTCTGGGAAATGCCCCCTCAAGGCTCTGGCATGCAGCCTTCATTGTGGAGATGCTAAACTCTGCATAATCCTGGTTGGGGCCGAGGGGAGTAAAGTGCATGGAAAGTGCTGGAAGGGATGGGGGCCCCAGAAACTGAGGACAAGTTAGGGGGGGCCCTGAGGCAAGGGAGTGAGGGTCCTTTTATTTCCCATCACTGCTGGTGGGAAGGGAAATTGTTGGTGTTAGAGATGGTGACAGCCCTTGATTTATGATGGTCAGTCATTCCTCCATGAAGGACCTGAGCAGTGTGTGAAGTCTCACTTTCCAGCTGTGAAACATGGCGTGAGAGCCGAGTGACCGCCAGCCGGGCTTTGGAATCCCAGAGACTGGGACTGTAACCCAGCCACGGGTGAGCTGTGTGGTCTTGGCCAGCTTACCAGTCCTCTCCTGGACAAACCATCCAGACCGCAGTACCCTTTTGAACGTCAGCCCTCAGCACAGCATTTCAGGGGTGGGAGAGACCCCAGGGTGTCTGTGGCAGACTGCTAAGAAACCTCCTGATTCCTGGTATCTGACAATTCTCATCCTCCTTAGTGACAAAAACCTACCTTCCCTGAGAGCTAAATCACAATGTTATAGACAATGAGAGGTAGGGGATGGGGAGCGGCCAGGGAGCCTGTTCCTTAGTGGGGAGGGCGGGCTTTCCTGTCTTCCCTCCTTCCTGCCACCTGGAATGCAGCCGTGTCAGTGGGAGCTGCAGCCTTCTTGGGCTGGGAGAGGCACTGGGAGGCTGAAAATGGCACGGTGAAGATGGTGTGACAGAAAGACAGGCCCAGTTTCAGATGATTTTGGGAAGCTGTCAACTCTGGGCTTCCTGTATAGGGCAGAATTAACCCCAGTTCATTGAGATCATTAAAACCAGTATTCAAAAGACTATACACAGACACAGCTCATCTTCCCTGCTGGAGACTCCATTGTTTTCCAGTTGAGGACTGCAAAGCTCCGAGAGGGCAAGGCACTTGTCCCAAGTCACACATGGGAGGGGGCAGGGACAGGCTCACCGCCTGAGCTAGCAATGGCTTGAGTCTCCCGGCTCAGCTCTGTCTTTCACTCACCGCCTGGCTCCTCAGCCTTACCTTGAAATTGCAGCTGAAAGGGGGCCCGAGGCCATCATATCTCTCCAGCGAGCTGTTGGGCTTGACCTCATAGTGGTTCAGGCTGCTGCTCCTGCAGGGACAGAGGACAGGCCGCCGTGGGCAGTCAGTGTTGGCTGGATGGGTGAACGAAGGAGAGAGGACGTGGGCTTGCGCCTGCGTCCTCCCTGAGCGCCAAAGTTACATTTCCGCTGGTATCCATCAGGAGGGACTCTGAGGATCAGCGGGAAAAAAAAACACCGAGGCCCACGGGCAAGAGCTGCCTTTGCGGGTGGGGTGGACGCCTCCAGCGAGGTACTGGCTGTGGCTGTGCTGGCCTCTCGCCTGGGGCAGCACCCTCTGGAGCGTGCACTCTCCCGGGGGCACTGTGGTCCAGGCTGGGGGGGGGGGCTGGCTGCAGCGGGGCTGACCAGCCCTCCTCTATACTGCCGGTTAAGTCCGCCCACCTGGGGCCTCTCAGAGCACAGATGGGGGGCCAGTGACAGATCAGGGGAGAGGGTGGTGGGAACAGTGGGCCTGCGGAGAGGAGCGTTTGCTCCGTGGCACTGCTTAGAATTGCTGGCCAAGGTGGTAGTGACCAGCAGAGACACTTTTTTTTTTTTTGCAATTTTAGACTTTTTTTATTAAAAAGTTTATTTTTACATCATTTTGCACATTTTTTTTTCATCTCAATTGTAATCCCCACGGGTTTCCCATCACCAAATCACCCCTGTGCCACCACCATAGTCCCGTGCATTTCCCTCCCTTCCCCCCCCCGACCCGTTTTTGATCCCATTCCCCACTCCACCCCCACAGAATGTCTCTGGTCTATGGTTGTTCATTATTTTTGTTATTTTCTCGCCTGGTCCATTATACTCCTCCAGCAGAGACACTTTTAATCAGTTTTATTACTGTCTTAGAATTCCCTATGGCCCTTGCCTCCCGCTGACTGCCTGCACCTCTGGGGGGTACCCGCCGCTGCCTTGGGCTCCCCCTTGCAGGGCTTGGGGCTCCCTGGGGGCCAACCCACTTTGACTCCACCTCCCCACCGTGGATGAGGGGGCTACACTCTCTGATCCCCGGGGTGACACTTTGGTTCTGGCCCCTCGTCACTGGGATCCTCCCGCAGGCCCTGGCCCTCACTGGGGTCCCCCGAAGGCGCCCCGTCTTGGGCCTGACTCCTCAGGGGCCTGGCCCACCTGGTGAAGAGGATGTCCGCCTCGTACTTGAGGTGGAAGCGCAGGAGGGCTGCGTTGTCCTCCTTGGTGCTGTCATCCTCGTCGCTGTCACTGTAGGGGGAGCCAGGCAGGGTGGGGTCAGTCCCCCCTGGCCACAGGGGCCAGCACAGGGGTCACTGCTGCAGGAGGACTGCAGTCCGACTGAGAAGCAGCATCCTGGTGTGCCCGAGGCCGGGGCCGTGGGACGGCAAGGGCGTCTGAGGGCTTCCTAGAGGAGACAGCTGGAGCCGGGAAGGGTGACCTCAGCCTCTCTGGGGGGCTGTCTGGGCGGGTGTAGGTGCAGGGAAAGACTTGACAGAGGTCAGGAGGGCTGGGCTGGCCTGGCCACAGGAGGCCTGGGGCCTCCTGGTGGGGCCCCTTAGTCAGACTGGCAAAGCCCACGTGGTGCAGAGAGGCGGCCACCCAGCCTGGCCCAGGGGAGACAGGAGGGGCTCACTCGGGCTCATTCATCTCTAATCCTTTCAGGGCTGACCTGCTGGGGGGCAGAGAGCTCCCACAGGCTGGCTGTGGGTGCTTTGCTGCCTCAAAAAGGCCAGAGAATGAAGTTGAGAGACCTTTGGAGGAAACTTGGTTAAACGTGCCTCCTTTCATAGTTGAGCTCCAAGAACTAGTGGGGCAAATCACCTAAAAATGTGATTCTGTTCACTGCATATGCTGCTTTATTCCCTTTGGAAAGCTTGCTCCAGGAGAGGTGTTTAGTGAGGAAAGGGACACCTGACACCCAGAGACACCCCAAGGCCCCCTCCTACCCATGCCTGATTCACAACCTTCCACAGACTACTTCCAAGCTGTGTGTCATTGGGAAATTCACTCAACTTCTCTGAGCTTCTCTTTTCTTGTCCACTGGGAGGTGCATCTGTGTGCCTATCTGAAGGTGCTGTTGAATCTGACAGATATTATATTGAATGCTTTATAACTGCAGGGTTATAAAATAATCAGCTATAGGCCCCCCTGGTGGCGCAGTGGGTTAGGGTGCAGCACTGAAAGCTCGCGGCAACTATTTCAGTGCAAGTTTGGTCCCCGGTCCTGGAGGTGACCCACATGGCGCGGCAGACCTCTCCTGGACTGCCTGCTGCTCCCCTCAGCAGAGTATTTTGTCAATTGGCCGGTTCTGCTCCCAGCTCTGTCTCTGGTGAATCCTCTCACCGCCCCTGCACCTCTGGCCTGTACCCCAGGTCTGTATGCACAAATAAATAAATCTTTAATTTAAAAATATATAATCTACTCTAGAAACCACGACGCAGAGTTGAGAGTATTATTCACATCCAGAATGAGGAATGGTGGCAGCACAGGGTGCAGG